TTATAATTATTTTATCCACAGCCCGGCTCAAATCGAAGATGGGAAGTGGGGGAATGTCAGCAGCTCCATCAGGAGAGATGGGCACGGGAGCCACAGGATGCTCAGTCCATTTTCCTGCCCTTGGATCTCCCACGGTCTGCAATGGTCCAGCTGCTGGGATGGCTGAAGGATGCGCTGCCACCCCCAGCAGCTGTCCCATGGATGGGTGGCCCTGTGGCCCCCGAGCACAGGAGACTTCCCAGCACCTTCCCAGCGCTGCAGGACCGTGAGATTCCAGGGAAAGGGAAAAGCTGGAGTGACCCAAGCGGGTCCCTGCGTTACACGAGCAGGTTCCCAACCTGCGGATCAGCGCCTCCCCCGCAGCCCCGGGATGATTTCCAGGGCTCCAGCGCCGTGCCCGTGTCATTTTTCAAACAATTAATGATAAAGAGGCCCGGGCGCAGCTCGTGTTTCGGTGTTAACGCCGCTGCCAAATATCATCACGTCAGAGCCGCCGGTAAAACAAAGGAGATCGATAAGATTCCCACTCCAGGAGAGCAGCTCGGGGTCATCCTGCTGCTCCTGAACCTTCCCTGGGACCTGCTGGGCTTGATTTCCCCTTTTCCCGGCTCTTTAATTCAGCAGCTGGTTAATGGGCTTTGCCTCGTTCTTCTGCTTCCTCCGCCAATCCCAGAAATAGGATTTGGGTTGGAAGGGAGTTTAAAATTCATCCCGTTCCACCCCCTTTTATTTTCCACTATCCCAGGTTGCTCCAAGCCCCATCCAACCTCACCTCGGGCCCTTCCAGGGATGGAAGGAGTCCGCTTTTCAGGGATATAACCTACCTTGATCACACCCGGCAGACCGGCTTTCCCTTAGGCAGCTTTTCATTCCCACTTTTCCTGCCTTTCTTTCCCCGAAAACCTTCCCAGCCGCTCGATCACAGCCGATTTGCAAGGCCAAGACATTTAAAACACCCTGAGAGCAGCCGGGGATGAAAGGCGTGAGCTCCAGCAAGGTGAGAGCTCCTGGAAACTCATCCTTTGGGAGAGCTTTGGAGATAAGGCAGAGCCTGAATTCCCCCTCTGGAAGTCCCACCTGCCTTTACAAAGGAGCGGGAGTCACACGGAGCTGAATAACTCGGATTTTAAAAGGAAAACACTCTTTGTTAGCGGCTGAATAAAGCCCTGATTTGCCGAGGCTCTGGAGATCTTGGCTGTGGCACTCAGGGTTTCCATGACAGGGCTCTTATCAGGGAGATACCGATCTGTGCCCAGCTGGCCCTCAATTAACGATGCTGACCCTCATCAGGGGACAAAGAGGAGTGACAGAGACACCCGTGAATTTCTCAGGCTCCTTCCCTCTCAAATTTAGCCCATCCTGTTTACAAACACCCCCAAGGCTTCCCAGCGGCAATTCCCTTTGACCCGACCTAATTTATTTCTTTATTTGTTCTTCTCCTTTTTTGTCTGCCCCGATCAAGGCGAGCCTTTTTGGTTTTTTGGTTGGTTTTTTTTTTTTTCTTTTTTATTTTTTTTGACAGCTTTTGAACGGAGTTTGTTGGGATTTTTTTCCCAGCGAACCTGAGAAATCCGTTATCTCCGCAGCCCGAATGGATTCAGGGAAGCGCTCAGATCTCTGAAAGCAGAAAACTGCGGTTTTCCCAGCCTGGTTCCAGCTGCTCCATCCGGCCTGGAAGGTCGGCATCCCACTGTCTGATCTTCCCAATCCGCCTGTGACCTTGCATTCATGGCCCAGCATTCCCAAAATGTCCCCAAAGGAGCCGTGTCCGTGTCCCCCACACCGAGGATGCGGCACCCGCTGCTCCCCAGCTCCCATCCCGCTCCTGCCAGCCCCATATTCCATTCCAAACCCCTCCTGGATTCCAGGAAAATGCAGTTTTCCAGCTCTCGGTGCTGCAGCAGGATGGAAAGGGCTGGATCCCCACAGCAGGGACTGATCCACTTCCCATCCCTGCAGGATTTGGGAATAACATCCCATTTAACTCACTCTCTCCCAGTTTAAAGCCATTCCCTGTGTCCTGGCCAACGCTGCTCTTTGAGACCAGCTCAGCAGCACAGCCCAGCTGGGATGGAGCGGGGTCAGTCGGAAAACAGCAAAGCCATGGAAGCAAAGCCACGGGATGATGGGAGCAGGGTGGGAAAGGTCAGAATTTGGTTTCTAATGAAATGCCACTTTCCACCCTGGGCAGCATGGGAAGGTGCACAAATTATCCCAGCTGAGATTGGATTATCCCACGTGCTGGAGATCCCATCCCCACCCCCATCC